AAACTATAATAAGTAACATAATAACAATTTATGTGATTGCTGAAATATATAGTTACTAACTGATATCACTTAATGGTGATACTTTTCCTTTTGTTTTACAATTACTTAATGGTTATAATTGATAATAAGGAATGAAATTATTACTGAAAATACAAAATTAAAATTGATCATCACCTCTCATTATACCTACAAATGTTATTTATATACCTTAAAATAAACATTAGGGATAAAAAAATAATAGTAACTTTAAGTTTAAGAGAGATGAAAATCATGAAAAAATATTTTATAAAAATCATACAAAAGTTTGCTCATTCTTTAGAGATCAAAAATAATGATTTCAAATTTGAGAATGATAAAAAATAAAGAAAGAAAATTTTAAGGACTAAGATTATAACACATACTCATTTTACGGTAACTAAAAATATATTTAAATCAATTAAAAAAATAAAAGGTATAAATATGTTTAACCTATTTTTTTACATAAGATATCTCTTGCCGATATTCGAAGTTAGTTTTTCTCAAAGGGTAAAAACAACTAAAAGTGTATTTTATTTTTTTAATATATATTTTTCATCTATAGATCACAAACTAAACCTTTGAAAATACAAATAAAGCATCTAATAACTATTATTTGTTATAAACCTTTGGTGATTGAACCTTTCTTATAAATGTCAAGAGGGTACTGATAAGTCCAACAACGTTTTTATTAATTATATGACTCGTTCATAACCATCAAAAAACGCCAGAAAGGAAGATGCATACTACTTACGTGTTTTTGGATGAATGAATGTTGTACTATTAGTTAAATAATTAAACAATTGGACCACCAATTAGTTAAATCCCAAGTGGTGTAGTCAAATCACAGATCGTGTTCTCACCCTGTGTAGTATGATAGGAGTGCAGCGTTGCTCTCTCATGGGACACTACTGAAGCTTTCCTAGGAGATTCCTTGCTAAGCCACTAAGCAAGTTACACACGCAAAAGCCAAAGGGTTAGAATATCCTACTTCTATAATATTATATTATTTAACTTTGATTGAATAATTTGCCACAAATTATATCTAGCTATGAAGTTACAAGTGTGTTCACACACGCTACTATTAAGTATTAACGGAACCGGTTTATATGTGGAAACCTAAATATATTAGATTTGACTAATGATATCATCTAGATAAGTGTTCAACAATTCTTATAAGTTAGTTAAATTAAGTTTATAAATTATATTCTTAAGGACTATTGTTAAAAGAATAAATAAATAAATAATATTGTTATATTGTCGATGCAAACATATATTTGCTTTCCTTCATAGTATACTAACATATTGTTAATTACCACGTGTTAAGTAAAGTTAAACTCGTATTTCTTATAAAAAAGAAAAATATATCGAATTTGAGAATGAAGATTAAAATAAATTCTAATACTATTAATATTAATAAATTTTCTTTTGCTACTAGGTTGACAAATATTTTTTTAATAGCTATATTATACGTATTTATCAATTTTATTGCTGACTAATCGTTGTTTGTTTGATCACTTTTAGTAGAGACTCCTCTCAATCAAATTCTTTTCATCTACAAGACTTGTATTTAAAATCTTATTTAAGAAAGATGAGTTTAACATTACTTGATCTCACAACTTGTTGGAACCAAATTATGGCCGTGAAATATTCACCAATTTTTTTTGATGAATTTGTAATTTTTTTTTTAATCTCATCTTCGATCTTATTGCCCGTGACACCGCGTATGTTTCCATTACGGTGTTGCCAGCTAAATTCTTAGAAGCCATCTCAATTCATTTGAAAAGTCTGTTTTTCTTTTCCGTTATAACGTGAATTTCAGGTTGTATATTATACTAAGAGCCTGGTTTGACCAAGAATCCTCAAAGAAACATTTCGAAAGCAACCTCTATGGTTTCTTGGAGTAGTTAACCGTCATTGAACATAGGGTTCATCGGGTATCCGTATAACATGTTTTCATTAACATTCGAGGAAATATCAAATACTCTAATATTTGTTTTCAAAAGGAACGGTCGACAACATATACATGATTGAAAATATATTTCAATAATTAGCACGTTCGAAATATCAACAAATAATGAGAACATGCATTGCATTGTTAGAACGTGCAAGAAAAAAAAAAACACAAACAAAAAACTTGGCCATGCAGAAACGAAAATACTGAATTGAAGTTGCTTCGACTTTTAAGGACATTTGTTAATTATGAACTAATTTTGTGGCAGTACTGTGGAGGTTACCACTCTGAGATAGTTGTCTACTGGTCATAATTAAAGCTATTTTAATAAGGACGATCCGCAATACATTAATTGAGGCTGTCCTTAGAAGAACAAGTTAATTCATTGGCGTCAAGAAATTCATTAGTTTTGATAAAGATTTTGCATGATAGTAATAGAAAAAAAATATTAACTATCTTAAAATAGTTTTATAGGTTCCAAAGTGTCAGATTCTGCTGAAGTTGCACAGTGGAAAATTACAGTTAACAAGGACTATGTGCATGTAAGGGAATGGGAGAACGTAGCCTTCAAAAGGAAGTAAATAATTTTTAGGTTTAATCTTTGTGTTTCAATTATAGTAATGGTGTGAATATAATCCTCAATTTTTTATTGAATAATTTTAGTTTAATTTGTGTTTTAATTTTTAATTAAATAATTTTAGTCTTTTAAATACTGTAATTGTACAATATAAATCTATCATATCAAAAGTCAAATAATTTTTTTTTTGTTGATATCATGCTAACAAGTAACATGATAATTGATATTTTTAATTAATTTTCTTCCAATATATTTATCTTATTTTATATATTTATATTTTTATAAGAATATATAATATATACTAGTTTATATTAATGAATTTATTATTTTATCAATAAATATAATAATATTATTGATATTAATATTATTGCTATTAATTTATCAATAATATTATAATACTAATAACATATATAAATTTTATTTATTTTATAATAATATATAATTTAAATAGAATGAATAATTGTATACTTTTAAAATATTATATATATATATATATTATAATTTTAAAATTATTATATTTTTAATTAAGAAACTAAAACTGTACAACTATAATATTTAATAAGTTAAAATTATTCAATTAAAATTTAAAAGATTAAAATTTCATAATTACAATACTTTGAATATAAAAACGCATTTTAGTATAATTAATTTTTAACTCTGACTCTTAAAATACAATATATACATTAATTAGTACTTAAATTTAGTTTTTTTTTTTTGAAGTTTCAACGTTCAATATATTATGCTTAATACATTAGTTATTTATTTAAAAATAACATGAAATTATGCAAAATGGGATAAGGGCAAGTTTTCTGAAAGTGTTACCGGGTATTAAACTTTTTTCCTAATAGAGATGAGATGGGTTCAAAAGAGCAGGTTTGGATACACAGAGACACGAGAAAGAAGGGAGAAAAATTTCACTACCTTTCCATATTTTCCATCGCCAAGTGTGAAGAATAATTGTCCCACTTTTAAGAGTCAGAGTTAAAAATTAATTAGACTAAAATGCGTTTTTATATAGAGGAGGGTTCAAACGATACCGGTGTAACTTTTACTAAGTGTTACACCGCTCAATAACTTTATATTAAATGTGAATTTTATAAATCCAACTGTTAGATGGAAAGTTGATATCTCTTAGATCATATATGTCAAATTTTGTTAAAATTGAACAACAACTTGAAGGTAATCAAAGTGTTCATATTTTAGTATATTTTGAAATATATATATTACGTCAATTTTGTTTTATGAGAATGAAGTATCAAATCATCTTAGATTAATATAAAATTTGACATATATGATCTAAGAGATATGAACTTTCAATCTAACGGTTGGATTCACAAAATTCACATTTAATATAAAGTTATTAAGCAGTGTAACACTTAGTTAAAGTTACACCGCTCAATAACTTTATATTAAATGTGAATTTTATAAATTCAACCGTTAGATGGAAAGTTGATATCTCTTAGATCATATATGTCAAATTTTGTTAAAATTGAACAACAACTTGAAGGTAATCAAAGTGTTCATATTTTAGTATATTTTGAAATGTATATATTATAAAATCGAAGTATTGTAATTATGAAATTTAATGTTTTAAATTTTAATTAAATATAGTAATTATGAAATTTAACTTAAATCTTCTTGCGTGTTTATTTATATGTATTTTGTATAAGATTATATTATGATTTTGTCTCATTTCACATTTATAAGCTAGTTTAATAAAGTTATGCTATGATTTTATCACATTTTATATTTATTAGTTAGTTTACATAATAACTAATTTTATCAAAAAAAAATTATTATAATTTTTTAACAACTTTTATCTTTTAAATAGCTAAAAAAATAAATTTTCAACTTTTACTTAAAATTTATCTTTTCTGAATGTTATTTCATTAAAAACAAAATAATTCCACATTCAACTTTCAGTTCAAATACATCTATGACCCAACTTGGGTCTCTCTTATGTTACGTGACTAGAAAATTTTAGCCTACACATATATATATCACTTAACGCGTATACACTTCACTGTCTATAATGTGTACATAATCTTATGATTCAACCATATTATAAAATTAAAGAAAAAAAAAAGAATAAAGAAACTATTTTTCAATTTCCACCTCTGTAACCCCATTCAATTAAACAAGAAGAAAAAAATAGAAAAAGGAGAAAAAATACAGACAGAATATACGTGTCGTGTGACGGAAGAATTGACCTAGCGACAAAGAACAAACTGTAATATCTTAATATCGCATTTGGCGGTAGTAACCCCAATCAAAGGATATATCATAAATTAAATTAATCAATCGTACATCGAAAATGTCTTTTAATTAATTTATTAATTATCCTGATGATGAATTCCCAGTCCCCACTACACTGTCCAAACGCGTCCTCAATGAGGATTAAGGAATATTCAAAACATTCTTCCTTCCACCACATCCTATATAAATAAACCCTTTTCTTCCAAAGATCTCAACCTTCAAAACTCACAAGTCCATACCCAATTAGTCAATAGTCACACACCAAAAGAGAGAAAGAGAAAATAGTGAGATAGTTAAGGAGGAAAAGAAAAACAACAAACAACATAAACCATAAGTATACACAAAGCTCATAGTCATGGTCGTTGCCACCATGGCCCCATGGCGTCACAAGGCGGTGCCGGAGGCAAATACCCTTGGCATCCTCGCCTTCGACGCCGGAAAAACCATGTGCAGCCTCATCTCCCTCTACCACTCCCTCTCCGACGAAGAAATCACCAAGCTTCGCACCGAGGTGATCAAAACAAAAGGTGTCACATACTTGAATTCCCAACATGAGTGCTTCCTCCTCAACCTCGCCGCCGCCGAGCGCCTCGAGGAGCTCGACACGGCTGCCGACACCGTCTCGCGACTCGGCCGGAAATGTTCCGACCCCAGCCTGAGCCAGTTCGACCTTGTCTATGCAGATCACAAGGTCGGTCTCATCGACCTCCGGAAGTTAGGTTACAGTACCCGTAACACTCCTAAGATCATTTCCAAAATGGAAAAATTTGTCTCTTCGACTAGAAGTCTGCATTCTGCCATGGAAAACATGGCAGAGTTAGAGACTTCTGAGAAGAAGAGACAACATTGGAAAGCTAATAACTATAACTATGGAAAACACAACTTTGAACATTTGAATGAGCAGATAGGATATCATAGAAAGCAAGTGGAGCATTACAAGGAAGTGTCACTATGGAACCAATCATTGGACAAAACAGTTGGGATCATGGCTAAGGTTATTTGCATTGTCTACGCTAGATTATGTTGTGTGTTCGGAGCCTACATTTCTAATTGCAACTGCTATAACGACAGCAATTGTTGTTGCCTCTTGGAACACCGCGAGTTGTACAAGAAAAATAACTGTCTCTACGAGGAATCACTTTACAAGCGTGTAACAAGATCGGGTCCTATTCCCAAGGGTAGTAACAACAAAACCGGTGTGATCCGGTTCTTGAACCATGACGTTGGGGAATTCGATAAGCCAATGAGTAGTGGTAACAATAGGGTTTTGAGGCTGGCGCCGCCGTCCACGGTGGGCGGGGCGGGGCTTGCGGCGAGGTACGCGGAGGTGGTTTTGTTTGCGGAGCGGTGTCTGCGGGCGCCGGCGACGGTGGGGGAGGAGGCGCGGGAGGCGATGTATGAGATGCTGCCGGAGGGGGTGAGGCGGAAGGTGGGGGCGAAGCTGCGGGGGCGGTGGCGGAGGGAGGAGGAGGAGGGGGAGGCGCTGGCTGAGGGGTGGCGGGACGCGGTGGAGGAGCTTTTGGAGTGGCTGTTGCCGGTGGCCCACGACACCGTGCAGTGGCGGGCGGAGAGGCTGATGGAGAAGGCGAGGTTTGAGACGAGGACGACGGCGCTGCTGCTGCAGACGCTGCATTACTCCGACTTGGAGAAGACAGAGGCTGCCATTGTGGAGGTGTTGGTGGGTTTGAGTTGCATATACAGGTGTGAGAGAAGGTGAAATGGATATAAGACTTTAACTCAACCCTACCCTACCCACTAAAATAAAATAATTTTGTGTCATTTGATTCACATAATTAATACAAGATTCAAGCTCAAGAGTATGATGAAGTTCAACAATTTCGTATCAAATTTTTCTCCTGCTGAGTGGTAAAAATAAAAGAAAGGGTTGATCTCTCATATGAAGTTTGAAATTAGCTAGTTACAAGCATAATTTAAATTGCAGTTTATGGTCATGGATAGTGAGAATTCTTGAGTAAGGGAAAGATGATGCAAGGAAATTATATTAGGCATGGTTTTTGTAGTCTTAATAGTAGCCCTTTTGATGAAATTTAATTTAATTTTTAATTTTTTGATTAATTAATTTATGATTAGTCCTTATTTGTAATATAGAAGCTAGCATGGAATGAAATAGATTTTAAATAAGTTGTTTGTGTGTTTTAGAAGAATTTTTTTTATCATGTGAAATATATTTTAATTTAAATATATTTTTAATTTATCAAATTTAAAATAAACTTAATTTTACTTTCTTAACTTTAAAACTTATGATTTTAATTCTATAATTTTTAAAAATTTTATTTTAATCTCTCAAGTCACTAATAACATATTTAAAACTGATAGATTAATATAATTATACAATATTAATTAATTTTATACGTTGTATATAAGGATTAAAATATTTTTTTTATTTCAAGAATTAAAAATATTAAATTTAAATTTAAAGAATTAAAATAAATTTATTTTAAATTTGAGAAATTAAAAATATATTTAAGTTTATATTTTTAATAAGGGATAAATAGTTGAGTTTTTCACTTTCTCTTTTGAGTTGGTTCGTTGAGAATGTAAGTTACGTAGGTCAACGTTATTTGGTAGTATAGTAGTATCTTATTAATAATCAAGATGATTCCTTAGTTAGCATTAATTTCTACGATTATATATGGTGACGTTCTAAGACGTTATTTTCCGTTTCCGTTGCCCGTTGGATTCCAAGCGGAAATAACGTTGCTTCCCATGTGCAATTATTGAATGATTGGACAAAAGTAGCAAAGTACCTTTGGTTATATACACCAACAAGCATAAAATATATGATATTGGTTAAAATAGTCCTTTTATATTGGATGTATAATTAATGTTATCCTATCAACATATACTCAGGTATTTTATATATATACTGCTAGATATTAAATAGGTGTATTTTATTTTTATCTTTTTTATTTTAGTTGTAGATTTAACTTATGTACATAAAAGATATACTTTTTAGTTTTAACATCGGCTAAAATATTAAGCCAATTATTTTCTACATCGCTCGTATCAATAACTAATGTAAAAAGTATTATTTATAGCGATTAATTAAGGTTTAGAGATAAATAAGGGTCCGTTCATGTACACTTTTATCTTTATTTGAATTTTTTATTAGGTCATTTATTTGTTTCCGACTTAATCAAGATTAAGAAAATATAAAACGAACCCAAACTTAACTTAATATTTTAACATAATATATTAATATTAACATTAACATTATATAACATAAGTATAAAAATTAAATTAAGGTATATTTTATAATGATTTTTATAATAAATAATATTTATAAATATAATATTTTATTATATAAATTTTATTTACACTTAAATGTATTTTTGACCCTTTAATGTGAGATTTTGGTTCTAAATGTTTAATATGAGGTACACAAGTTTTTTTTTATACAATTTTTATGTCTTTTTAATATATTTTTTTAATTATTTTTGAAAATTGATAGGTTAGCTTCAAGAGAGTAATAGTTGTAGCATTTTAAGAAATTCATTACTCATAAAATCGTTTTAATGATTTTTATTTTCTGGTTATTGGTGCTTTATTACTCATTATTTTCTTTTAATTGCTTTTTGATTCGTGTGATGCATCTAGCCTCCTATATATAACACTCTCTGGTGAAGAAAAAAAGTGCAGTGAGAAGCACAACTCTATCCTCTCTCTCTCACATCTTCTCTCTACTCTGGTTATGAGCTTTTTTGATTGCTAGTTCTACAACCTTAGTTAGAAAATTGAGACATTCATATTGTATATCGGAAGATTTGCATAGATACTACGGATAAGTCCTTTAAGATAGTGCCGATAATGCTTAGCACGTCTCGAGAATTTCATATGCTCACAACTATTTTTTTTACTAAAATCTAAAGGACTTAGAAATGGTTGACAATATGATTCTCAACCCGCTAATCACTCTTGTTGTCACTACCTTGACATATGTGAAGTCATTGGCTGATGTCTCCAAAATCAAAGTCTTTGTTGTTCAAAACTTTCGTTGCTAGTAGGAACATACCTTACTCAATATGTACTTAGTTGTGTTTGCTCTTACCACTCCAAAACTAGATTCTGAAGGAACAACCAAGCATGTTGAAGACTAGAACCAAGCAAATAAGGTATGTCGTCACACTTTTCTACGAGCAAAGCAAGATATTTGAGAATCTCTCATCCTTAAATATACTACTGAGGACATGGTTAAGACAAAGACATCAAAGTTCAAATCAACGAGTACCATAAGCTACTTGAAGATTTGAAGGCTAAAAATATCACACCACCCAATGAGTTAGTACTTGAACTACTAATTGAAAAGCTTTTGAATCATGGATGATAAACAACAACTAAAACACAAACACAAGAAAATGTCAATATTGAACCTAATTGCTCATATCATCATAAAAGATACCAACAGGAGAGAGTATGTTGCTGTAAGATTGAAGGCACTATTTGTAAAAGCAAATATAATGGAAAATAAACCAACTCAAAAAGGGTGTGATAACAAATCTAATCACATAGAAAAAAGAAACATCATAATAATGTCTCATGAAATGTTGCATTCTTTAAGGAAAAATTAAATTGTTATCTGTGTGGAAAGTTAAGACATCATGCATCTTAATGTATATATAAAGTGGTGAGAAACGACATCCTCCTAAGCTTAGGGCCAACCTAGTTGAAGTAGATGATATTATTATTGTGGTTGTTTCTAAAGTAAATGTCGTGACCAAATTGAGCAAGTGGGTAGCAAACATACCTGACATATTTGTGCAAATAGAAATGTACGTGTTTACCTCCCACACTTTTGTGGAGAATGGAGAACATATGTACCTTGGTGAATCTAGTACTATTCCAATTCTAAGGAAAATAAAGGTTTTTCTAAAGCTTACATCTAAGAAGACACTTGCTTTAAGTGATGTGTTGCATGTGCCCATTATTAGAGTCAATCTAATTTTTGTAGCACTATTAAGTAAGGTTAGGGTTAAAGTTTCTTTTGAGTCTAACAAAATTGTTATTATGACTAAGAATAATATTTTTTTTAGTAAAGGGGTATTGTGATCAAGGACTGTTTACCTTGAATCTTTAAGAAATTATGAATGAATCTACTCTTGTGTATGTGATTGATTCGAATAACATATGACATGCTAGATTAGGACATACAAATTCTTCTTATATTATTAGTGTCGCGGGTTGCATCAATTGTCCCGTGACGGAGGCTAGATGGGCCAAGTCACTGTCGAATCATGGCGCTCCGTGTGGATTTGAGCTATTTTCCCTTCTTCTCCGTCACTCTTCTCCTCCGTTCGTCGTTCGTCTCTTCCCGGAAGCTCGGATTCCTTGCACCGAGGTAAGGGAAGCTAGTTTTTGGCTGTGTTTTTTTGAAAATGAGTTCATAAAATCATTTGTGGGCTGATGGTTTGATGATTTCGGGCAGAGATTGAAGAAATTCATTTTCGGGTTTTTTCGGGGTTTGGGTGAAAATTTGGGGTTTTGCTTGTTTATTGGTTGCATGCTGAAAATGAGGTGTTTTTCGTGATGTTTGATGAAAATGTGGACTTTTGGATGGATTGCATGTTGGTTTTCTGGTTGATTTTGTAGGTGTTGGTGAAATTTTTTTAAGTTGTGGGTTGCTGCTGAGCTTCGCGCTGAGCGCCGTTCTTCGCGTCGGGCGCGTGACCACCTGGGGGCTCCATTTAGGCAAGCCCGCCGGGCGCAAAGATGTGTGCGCCAAAAATTCATTTTTAGAAAAGTTTAATTGAAATAAAGATCCTAAATACTCTGAAATTTTTAAAATGTCATTGAATCCAATTCACCCCTCCCCCCCCTCTTGGATTGTGCCATTCTTTTCTAACATATAAAAGGCGTAAGCCTTTGGAGTTTGCTAAAGGGGAGCATGTGTTTCTGAAGGTGACCCCAACTTCTGGTGTGGGTAGGGCACTGAAGGCAAGGAAGTTGACACCGAGGTTTGTTGGTCCCTATTAGATCATACAACGTGTGGGTCTGGTTGCTTATCGGTTGGCTTTGCCACCGTCCCTTTCAAACTTACACGATGTATTTCATGTATCCCAGCTGAGGAAGTATCTCCAAGACCCGAGTCATGTGGTGGAGCTGGATGATGTGGGGGTGAAGGAGAATCTGACATTTGAGAAGTTGTCAGTAGCTATGGTTGATCATAAGCTGAAGGAGCTGAGGGCAAGTCCATTGCTCTGGTGATGGTGTTGTAGGATGCAGCTACTGGTGAGTCTACTTGGGAGGTGGAGCAGCAGTGCAGGGAGCGGTATCCATTTCTTTTCTCAAGTAAGTCTGTTTTCGGAGACGAAAACTCTTGTTGTTGGGGAGGTTGTGAGACCCCTTTCCTTTTTCTTTTCTTCCCCAAACTCTCTTCTCACTCACTTTTGTTGATTCACTTTTTTCTTCCCTCTCAAACTCTCACTTCTCCTCTTTTGCTTGGATTCAAGGTGCTAAGTAGGTATTGATTTTCTTGTCGAGCCGTGTGGATTTGAGCTATTTTCCCTTCTTCTCCGTCACTCTTCTCCTCCGTTCGTCGTTCGTCTCTTCCCGGAAGCTCGGATTCCTTGCACCGAGGTAAGGGAAGCTAGTTTTTGGCTGTGTTTTTTTGAAAATGAGTTCATAAAATCATTTGTGGGCTGATGGTTTGATGATTTCGGGCAGAGATTGAAGAAATTCATTTTCGGGTTTTTTCGGGGTTTGGGTGAAAATTTGGGGTTTTGCTTGTTTATTGGTTGCATGCTGAAAATGAGGTGTTTTTCGTGATGTTTGATGAAAATGTGGACTTTTGGATGGATTGCATGTTGGTTTTCTGGTTGATTTTGTAGGTGTTGGTGAAATTTTTTTAAGTTGTGGGTTGCTGCTGAGCTTCCTTACTCTTGATATAAATATATGGATCATTCCTCCTAAATGTGTGTGTGTGGATGGATCAAATAACATTAGTGTAACTTTTACTATAATATTGCGAGATTTTACCTTGTTAATTAATTAATAAAATATATGATACATTGTTCTATTATTGTAATTAATGTTGTTTTAGAGCTTTAAAGGTCTAGGAATCCTTGAGAGCTAAGTTCTTGGTGAGGTAGTTTTAGCTAGAGTTGAGTTGGCTTAACTTAAGAAAA